ACAAACTCAACAAGTCGGAGAAAGGTTGCACTCTCCAAAACGTTGTCGCATTTTCAAAGATCCCTTGGCAAAGGCTGTGTTCAAAGTCACCTGACGGCTTTCCAGCTCAGAAGTGCCCACATTATCGAGATCTCATACTTCATCATGTATTCGTTTTCCAAAATGTTTGTCATATATTATTTGTTCTTTTTCTCCCTTATTAATAAAGACAATCTTTTTCTCTAAATCAATTCCTTTCGAGCATCTTGAATTGAACTTAAACTCAATGATTTATCTACTTATGCAAAATATAATCGCATATTACTGTACAAAGATTCATTGAAAAGTACAGGTACCCGGAAGCCGATCAAGGCTCATGTATATACTTGAGATGGCCGAGAAGTATTTCCCGGATCAAGGATAAAAAAACAAAATATACACATCAGATTTCAATATTTGAAGAATTCAAGACCATGGATTGGAATTTCAAGATTCCAGAATCAAGATTCCAGACATGCAACCGAAGATCGAGATTTCTCTCCAGAGCCCCAAGATAACATATGTTGCATATGCATTTTAGGCACACCTAAGAGCATTGTATTCATAGCATCACATATATGCATAACTTTTTCAAGTTTTATCTAGAGCCAATTTCAACTTCGCATCGAAGGATATTGGACTCGAAACGACACAATTTGCTCGAGAGTAGATTTCAACTTCACGACGGAGGATATCTAACTCGAAGCCAAACTTCACAATAAAAGGGTCATCCATGGTTTTAACTTCACGGCGAAGGGAATCGTGTCCACCCGCAACATACAACGAAGGATATTCAACTCAAGGCTCAACTTAACAACGAGGGGGCCATCCGTGATTTCAACTCCACGACGGAGGATATCGTACCCACACATCCACGATTTCAACTCCACGACGGAGGATATCATGCCATTTAGGGCTCAACTTCTTTACGAATGGGCTTCCCAAATTCAGAACCAATTTCAACTTCACAGCGAAGGATATTGGACCCAAGACAACACAAGCTCAACTTCACGACGAAGGGGCGACTGATTGTCAAATTCATTCAGAGTCAAATTCATTCAGAGTCAATTTCAACTTCACATCGAAGGATATTAGACTCAAGACAACACAAGCTCAACTTCACAGCGAAGGGGCGACTGACTATCAACAAGCAATTTCCCAGTTCCAGAACTAATTTCAACTTCACGGCGGAGGATATTGGCCTCGGAGTAATACAACTTACTTGGATTTCAACTTCACGATGAAGGATATCCAATTATCAGGCTCAACTTCACGACGAAGGGGCTACCCGCGGTTTCAACTTCATGATGAAGGGAATCGTACACATAAGCAGCATCCATCTCTAGATTGGATTTCAACTTCACAACGAAGGATATCCAGCTCAAAGAAGGAGTGTATTTCAATAAACTTTCCAGTTTCAGAGTCAATTTCAACTTCACGACGGAGGATATTGGCCTCGAAACAATGCAACTTACATTGGATTTCAACTTCACGACGAAGGATATCCAATTCCCAGGCTCAACATCACGACGAAGGGGCCATATACAATTCCAACTTCACTAACAGATTGACCCAACTTCACGACGAAAGAGTCATCTGTAACACAGCCATACCGAAGTCTTCAGGCCAAGTTTCACCTTCACGACAAAGTATCTTGAGCTAGAAGACGATCCAGAGACCACTCACTAAGGGCTTTGAGTCCAATTTCAACTTCACGATGAAGGATATCGCGCTTAGAAGTTTCCAGCTTAACTCAACCTCGCAACGAGGGAGTCATTTCGTGCTTCAATCCAAATTGACAAACCAGTTTTAGTGTCGGATTTCAACTCTGCAACAGAGGATATTCGATGGGGGTTGACCTTTATATGGATAACGTTAAATTTGGATTAAACGAAAAGTGTGCCTTTTAATCTTTGCCATATCCCCGTTGCACGACTATGGGCAAAGAGGGGCAGCTGTAGACACACCTTTTCTAACCGAAATATACATATATATTTTTATATAGTATATATTATATATGTGTGTGTTATTATTTTATTAACCAAAGATATTACATTTTTCAAGTGGCCCAAGAACAAAGCAAGTGGCCCAAGAACAAAGCAAGTGGCCCAGCATACCAGACCCAAACCCACGTTGAAGAACCCTAGCTCGTCCATCTCTCGCCTCAGCCGCCAGCAGTAATGGTCGTTGGATCTAGATGAGATCCAACGGTCCAAAGTATATCCTATTTAGGATTTTATCTTTTTGAAACCCTAACTCCATCACACCAACGCCGCAACCCTCATGTGTGAGGACTCTACAACCGACCATTTGTTTTGGTCAGCCCTGAATACTCCGACGCAAGGGAAGCACACGCAACATCCATCACCAACAAACATCACCGAGTTAGAGTCATAATAGGAATCAAATACTTAAAATTCTAGGCTATAAATATTCAATGTAATCACACGATTTTGGGGGGGGGAACACACAGAGAGATTAACGCACACAAGCACACTACTTTTCACGGAATACACACATATTACACACGAAATACGTAGGGAAATACCAAGGCAACCAAATCGTTTGTAAAGTGATTTCGAAAAGGAAATAAAAGAAAGGTACATTTTTTTACATGTTCATTCGATATTAGCCCGTGCATGTCGTTTTTAACTCATTGTAACAAGTAAGGTGCTCGGCCGAGGATCGGGGTGGAGTTGCTTTCGAGCTTCCTTTGTAGATTTACTCCTCTCGAGGCCATTTTGACAAAAACAAGTTTGGTTTTCGAAGAGAGCGGAAGGAAAGCTCTCGGAAAAATATAAAAAAAAAAATTAAGCTTCGTCGCCGATGGCCGGCGACGGCGGTTTCTGGGTTCCCACGGTGGCCGTGTTGTTCGTGAGGAAGAACACGTTGAAGTTCTTCAGAGGTTCTAGTTGGGATGTGTTTTGATTCATTTAGATGGGTGAGAGGGAAATGAAACATGTTTCTAAAAAATCGGATTTACTCCGATTTTCTTTTAATTTAGCCACCTGATTTATTTTCCTCTTCAATTTAGTCCTCCGTTTTTGTATATATAATTATATTTTCCTTATTTTATTCATTTTATATATGTTTGTTTTTCTACATATTATTATTAGTATTATTTTCTTTATACATATATATTTTTTATTTTTATTATTTTACTTTTTTGTAAATATTTTTATTTTTATTTATCCCTTTTATATTATTGTACATGTATTTTTACCATTATTTTGTTTCTATTGTATTTGTTTTATTTTGACTATCTTTATTTGGTTGGTTTTCATTATTATTCTTTCTTTCTTTTACTTTACTATCTACTTATTTGTTATTTTCTTCTTGCCTTTATATGTTGTATGTACATATTATTTGTTCATTTCTTTTACGCTTTTGTCTTTGTTTCCTTTATATTTATGTTTTATTTTGTCTTTATCTCTATTTTTATTTAGCCTATTTTTTTCCTTTTCGTGTTCTGATTATTATGCATAGTTAAGCACTCTTTACTTTAATTCAATTCAGTTTCTCACCTCAGATCTAACATTTTTTTGTTTTTAAAGGTTTTTGTTCAATCAATCAAAGGTAAATAATTCGGATCATATTTTACCTTTTTAATTAAGCTTACGATTTTCTTAATTTAAGACAACTGGAAATTATGTAGTACCGAAAGAGCAGTTCAAGGTTGCTAACCCTTCCTTGACTGTAACCGACTCCTGAATCCGACATATCACTGGTAAGACGCAGATCAGGTAAGAATTAAAGTATCTGGTCAACCTATTTACTTTTAAATAAATGATCGGTGGAGACTCCAATTCGTTTAATCCAAGTCGAAGCCCAATTTCGGGGTCCAACTGAAAGACGGTTCCGACAATATTAATAAAGATAATGTTTTTGTTTTGGTATAACCATTGGTTCTAATCTATTGATCGACTAATATGAATAGGGTATTGTAGAGGCGAGAATGACCCTCCCAACTCCTTTTTAAAACCCCTGAACTTAATCTAGTGTCTCATCCCACTAAACCAACTCATCGTTGATATAAAGATAATGTTTTTCATCATAACATTATTATTTTTATTTACTTTTCTTTGTCTTTCCAATCCCTTTTTCAACTTTTTATAATTCTAGAAGTCTTTATAGTTTATACTATCTGTTTTTGTTTTGTTTTTCAATACTTTTGTTCTACAAGTTTAATACTATAAGATTTGATATCTATTTTGGTAGTTAAACTTGTATTTTTTAAATATAGTATCTCTGTTTTTTTTTTTCGATTTATAGCTTCAATTTGTTACTTATTTGATGTGATAATTGGATTTAATAATTAATAATGTTGTTATAATTTCATTGGTTATTAAAATATGCATATCATCACATGTTAAAAACTATTTAAATTATCACCATATGTTAAAAATTATTTAAACTCAGTCACCGCATTGTAAAGTAATGACTAATTCAAGGAAGTGGTCGATAAATTCAACGCTAATTGTATATCAAACCTACACTAGAGCATAAGACAATATTAAAAGTAGTCCTTAACATTTAGTTGCATACAATTTGAGACCCTATTATCTTCTTAAATTATTCTCTCTCAATATTTTAAAATTTTAATTAAAATGGCCCTTATTTGGCCCTTTTGTAACTTTATTAGAGAAGGTTATAGTAAATAATCAATTAACCATTTTCATTCAAATAAAAGTTAACTAACAATTTCTACCAAATAAGAATTATTTGGACTAAAAGTGAAATGTCAAGGGTTAAACTAATTAAAACACGGAATAAAGGTTAAAATGACAAGATGGTCAAACATTAAGGGCTTTTGTATGCCAATAAATTATGCTCAAACATAGTTATGATACATGACTTTACAAATACAAATAAAAACATTAAAATGAATTAATTATAATTATATATCGAGCACATACTTGTATCCAATAATTACCCAAATCCGGAATGTGAAAATAATGCATGGAAAACATTAGTATCACAAATATCATCAATAAGTTTATATCAATGCTTTCATAATATCTGTAGATAGACACGGGTAAACCAGAAGCAAGCATACAGTTTCGAAGCAGAAAAAAAAACAAAGGCTCACCGGATCGGCATTCGATCAACGCTAAGCCGTAGAAAATAGTCTGTAACAGAGCTAACACCATAGCAAGAAGAAAGCGAACGAACCAGCGGCACGGTATCAAGTTAATATGGATGTCAACTGCATAATTACTAGGTAGATTAAACAGGAAAGCACCCCTTTTTCTTTACAGAGGATTGAGGCTATCAGGAAGGAACCATTGATAATTTTTGATTCAGTCAGAGATATGGAACTTTCATAGTTGTTTCTTTGCAAATGTTGAGGTGTCCGGGTTCTTTTAGCTGGGATTTGCTTCTCCGAACATAAACCTTTATCCGCTCCGTTTGGTGCCCTTGATCCATAGGGTCTTTCACCTTAATTGATGGGGATACAGCTACGTCCTCACAGCCAAAATTTGCTTGCTTGGTCATTAATTCATATTCTAACTGCTGTTCTTGCTTCTCGAGTTCCAGACCTTTGGACATACCATCCAGTTTTGGCTCACTTTGAATGAACCTTTTAGGTGTATTCCTCCTAAGAGCTCTAGGCTTTCTAGGAGTAGAACGCTTAAGACTCCGTAAAAGGATCTCACCAGACTCCCTCGATTCAGAAGAAGCAGACACTGAGTCCGTCAGTGGCATACGTGCCTTTGAGTTAATATTTGTCCTTGATTGTGGTGCCGCCAAAGCACAAACAATAGATAAGCCCATTCGGTGTCCTTGATCCATTGAGACTTTCACTTTAATTGATGGGGATACAGTTGCCTTATCACCACCAAAATTTCCTTGCTTGGTCTTTACTTCATATTTTTGGGGCTTTTCGGGTTCTCGAAACTGCTTTTCTTGCTTCTCGAGTTCTAGATCTTTGGAAATACCATCTGGTTTTGGCTCACTTTGTGTAAACCTTTTAGATGTATTCTCCCAAAGGCCTCTAGGCTTTGTAGGAGTAGAACGCTTAAGTTTCCTTAAAAGGACCTCCCCTGACAAACCCGCTTGGTGCCCTTGATTCATTGAGGTTTTCACTTTAATTGATGGGGAAACAGCAGCCTTTTCACCGCCAAAATTTGCTTTCTTGGCCTTTAATTCATATTCTGGGAGCTTTTCGGGTTCTCGAAGCTTCTGTTCTTGCTTCTCGAGTTCTAGGTCTTTGGACATACCATCTGGTTTTGGCTCACTTTGAGTAAACCTCTTGGATGTATTCCCCCGAATACTTCTAGGCTTTGTAGGAGTAGAACGCTCAAGTTGCCTTAAAAGGATCTCCCCTGACTCCCTCGATTCAAGAGATGCAGACCTTGACTCTGTCAGATGCTTAGGTGCATTCAGGTCAATATTTGTCCTTGATCGCGGTGCTGGCAGTGCACAAACAATAAAGGAACCCCATTTTTTGTCGCGAAGCTTCCTTTTCTGGTCCTCCTCATGCTTTAAAGGTTCTTTCTTTTGCTTTTCTAATAGACGGCCAGAACGCTTTGGAAGTGAAGTCTTCAAATTTTTTACATCCCTATCAAAAGGCAATCCCCGCATGTTGGTTCTGATGTCAATTTTCAGGCCCTGTGGGTGGACTTGCTCACTAATCATCTTACATAGTTGTGGTTGCTCTTGTTTACCAGCAGATTTTTTTACTCCACTTCCACCCTCCATTTGCTGTTGTTGCTGCTCGACATAATTCTTCTCGACTTCCATGGTAGGCTGCAGGATATCATCATCATTCTTCAGTACCTTTTTGAATTCCACAAAGAACTAAATCTCAATGAGTTGTTTGTTTTGAAAGTTCAATCACAAATAAATACTACATACTGCAATCTTTGCAATTATAGAGTGTAACTGAAGAATGATGATATCCCCCGAATATATGCCAACAATGGAAACTCTTTTAATGTAATTTAACATGTAAATCAAGGTACTTAAGAACTCTGACAATTTACAACACATCATTTCTGAGGGATACTGAATGGTTATCTCAATGAAAATAATATTTTTTTTGACAGGAATGGTTATCTCAATGAAAATAATATTTTTTGACAGGAAATAATCAATTCAGACAATCCTTTTTCATACTAAGAGATTGAAAAATTACTTTAAGCGTGTAAACAGAAATAAGTGTCATCGAAAACCCAATTCACCTTTTCTTCCCAAAATAAGACCAACCAGATAAGCATATTTTACCTGTTCAGTTTATAACCATTTTACCACAACTATAGGAAAAAAAAGTATAGCTAAATGGAATACTATAAACAGTTGTTATATAAGATTAACTACCTTTCTTTGTCGTTTAGTCTTCGCTTGTCGTTTTCTCTTTAGTCCCCTTCGGTTTCGAGTCACCTTAGTTAGCTTTTCTTCTGCAACATCGACTTCTTCAGACACCTCAATTGGACCACTAAAGTTTAGTCTTTCTTCTTGAACCTCTTTAAGTGATTCCCTTCTGCCCTCGTTTTTTTCTTCTAGTTCCTCCGTTCTTTGCTTGCATGCTTTATTTTGACCACTGACTTCAACACTATGTCCTCCAATTTCCAGTGGATTCTCAGATTCCGCAACTTGGACTAAGGTTAGATCTTCCTTCTCAACTCTATCTGAAATGCTCAACTGATGATGGAAACCCTTTTTCAGTTATGTAACAATATTACCATTGATTAAAGAGTGACCTAAAATATGAAAATCTAAAAATCATCAGAAAATTAGTCAAAAGAGAGGAATTTATGCAAAACAATTATTCTATGTCAGCAAATATCACTTCTATTCGAAATGTGACACATAAATCACGGTGCTTAAGAACTTGATCATTTACGACATATTATATGTGGGAACATTGAACAGTTCTCTCAATGGAAATAATCTTTGTTCACGAGAAATGACCAATTCATACAATCCTTTATCCCACTAAGAAATTGCAACATTACAAATAAGCAGAATTCATATAATAGTGTCATAAGCGTAGTATACAGCAATAAGCATTATCAAAACCCCAGTTCTCCTTTTATTCACCCAACTAAGCCCAACCAGGTCAGTCGTGTTTTATTTGTTCAGTTCTTTTTTACGACAACTATATGAAAAAATATAGCTAATTGGAATACTATAAACAGATTTTATATAGGAAGCAAAACCTTTATCTGTCGTTTAGTGTTCTGTCTTTTTCTCTTTTTTCCCCTTCGTTTTTGAGCCACCTTAGTTAGCTTTCCTTTTGCTGCATCGACTTCTTCAGCTACTTCGTTTTGTTCTTCAAATCCCTCCATTCTTTGCTCAAATGTTTTATTTTGACTACTCACTTCAACATTAAGTCTTTCAACTTCACATCGGTTCTCAGATTCCGCAGCTTGATCGCCGTTTACCCCATTCGAGCCATCATTAGCCTCAACTTCTCTCCCCTTTACGTCACATCGATTCTCAGATTCCGCAGCTCGAACGCAGTTTACCCCATTCAAGACATCAATAGCCTCAACTTCTCTCCCCTTTACTTCACATCGATTCTCAGATTCCGCATCTTGATCACCGTTGACCCCATTTGAGCCATCAATAGCTTCAACTTCTTTCCTCTTTACTTGGACTAAGGTTCGATCTTCCTTCTCATCTCTATCTGAAATGCTCAACCGATGACTCATCTCCTCATCCTCTTTATCCAAATCATCACCATCCACTTGGACCATATATTGTTCGTTATTGGCACAATCAATCTCCTTGTGCTTCTCCAAATGATGACTCACTTCAATTTGACCACTAAAGTTTTGACTTTCTTCTTGAACCTCTGTAAGTGGTTCCTTCATGACTTTCTTTTGTTCTTTGGGTCCCTCTGTTCTTTCAAATTCACATCCATTCTCAGATTCCACAGCTTGATCAACGTTCACTCCACTCCAACCAACAATAGCCTGGACTTTTCTCCCATTTAATTGGACCAAGGTTTGATCTTCCTTCTCATCGCTAGTTGAAACATTCAATCCATGATTCATTCCCTCATTCCCGAAATCACCACCATCCACTTGGACCATATACTGTTCATTGCTGCCAGATACAATCTCTCCATTCCCATAAAGAATCTTTAACTGATGACCTGATTTGATTTGTCCGCTAAAGTTTAGACCTTCTTCTTGAACCTCTTTAACCGATTCCCTTCCAGCTTCCATTCTGTGCTCACATGCTGTATTCAGCGCATTTGCTTCAGCACTTTGTCTTTCAACTTCACATTGATTCTCAGATTCCGGAACTCGATCACCATTTACACTACTACAGCCATCAACAGCCTCAACTTCACTCCCCTTCCCTTGGACTAAGGCTTGATCTCCCTTCTCAACATTCTCGATGATCTCACCATCCACATTGATCATATACCGTTCATTACCCACACATACAAGCTCTCCATCACTAGAGAGCTTCTTCAGATGATGACTCAAGAAACTAGCATGCGCCAATGGCAAACCCATGTATTCTTTCTCTAAATGCCTCGATATAGCCTCCTCAGTTGATCCACACTCCTCATTTAATTTCAAAATTGCTTGTCGAATCATCTAAATTAGTTTAAAAAAACACAAAGAAAGGCAACAGTGAGAAGATAAATAAACAATTAAAGACCTAAAATTTCAATTCTTTTCTAAAAAGGAAACGCAGGGTTCTTTTGCCGGCATATTCTGGATTCCCAATTCAATAATCTTCCATGTAAGTATCTATATATAAAAAAACAAACAAATTAAATATCTGGGTTGCACGCAAATTCAACAAAATTTCAATAAAATTGCAAAATCCAACATTAAACTACAGGGTATTGAATGAAATAGCAAAAATTCTTTCTTGAAAAAGAAGAATAAAGAAAGGGAGACTGACGGTTACCGAAGAGTAAGGAGGGTGACTGGGGGTTTGGAAAGTAGGAAACAACTGCTGCAAGCGAAGGTGGACGAGTTCAGGGTCTATCGCCATTGAAGGGTTTGTTGAAGCAGAAAGCTCTGCGATAATGGCGTCTTCAAGATTTTTCATCCTCGAGCTACTACTGCAACGCATGGTTTATTTATCTCCAGCTTCAACTCCTTAAACCAAGACCGTGAGTCGGCAAAATTTTCGTGCTCGCCAAGCACCGTTTTTTCTTCGTATTTATTACTAGAATCCTACAAAAAGTTCATTAAAAGGTAATACAATAATTATTTTTAAAAAAGCAATAAAGTTTATTAGAATTAATTGTATATTATAAGAATAATTTATTAAAATTAATAAATTAATTAGTTCATGATAGTTATTGATTAGTATAAATAAAATTTATTATTATTATAATCTTATAAATTGATTATTTTGTTTTCACTTTGATTTTTATGTCTTATCTCAAAATTTTAATTAAGTTGATACCAATGAATTAAATGAAGGGACATTTTGATTTGTATTATTTAAGATTATAGAATGTGATTTTATATTATGATACAATATTAAGCGATTTAAGATCAACGGGTGTTGGCACAAGTGATTGGGATTCGAGAATTTGAGTTTGTAAGTTTAAGTTCGAATCCCACCATCGTCACTCTTTGTGTGTAATTTGTAAAGTCACATGTAAATTTTAATTAGATCTTAAGTATGCCCTGACCTTAAATTGGGAGAGTCACCTCTCACCTAAACTTTTTGTGTACCAAAAAGAATATATATTAAACGACCTTAATTAAGTGGACACCGAACATGTGCCTACCTTAATTAAAATAGACAATTAAAAAATAGAAATTAACTGGAAAACTTTTAAAGTTTAAAGTGGACAATGAACTTGTGCCTACCTTAATTAAGTTGTGAATCTATTACTGAGCGATCTTGGTAGTAAAAATAAGTTTTATTTTCTTTATATATCTCGAGTTTAAACAACTATATCTGGACTCTATAGAGAGAGTGTTTTGTCAATGATTAAGAAAAATTATAAATAGATACTATCTTATAATCATTTTAGATTATTAAAAAAAATCATGTAATAAATACTATGATCACAAAACACACTATCTCATCTATACTTAAATTAAAAGGATATTCATATGGAAAAGCATGACAAACTCTCGTAGAGTCAGTTCTCCATGCAATGATTGAAGACGAATACACAATCATAAGAAACACTACTGCGGTCTCTTCTCGCAGTTCCCTTATAGCTGCATATCTTGCCTCCTCACGTCTTCGATACCTCCCTGTGCTAGTAAAATCCCCAACATTCATTTTCTCTATATTTAGTGGATTCTTGTATGATCATATTCTCGTTTTCATGTTCATAAATTTGTAAGATTCCGAAAATGAATACTTGTCAAATAAGGTGTAACTCCGATTTCTTTCATCTAGTGATATTTTAAGTTTTTTTTTTAAATATTAATAAATAAGATTTTTATCTTTCTTAAATTTCAAATTTAAATATTTAATTATTTTTTATTCTTTTGGTACTCCTCTAATATTTAATTATAACTCGATATTAGTAATTCCTCAAAATAACATAAAAATGAGGTCAACGACCCATCCAATGGAGAAGCTAGCAAGGTGTGGGAGGGGGCCCGACCCCTATTTTTTTATGGTTTAATAAGAATTTTAATGTACGTTAGTTCAAATGCTTATAAAATCAAACTTCGATGTTTTTAAGTTTTAAGATTAATATGAGATAAAAATAATAAACATAATTTTTAATCATTTGATATTGACTAATGTTAAAATTTAAAATCTCAAAGGATTACAATAATATTTTAATTCTTTAGTTTGTTAGCTCGTGTAAGATCCATATCAAACCCATCCATACAAACATATATGATGTACAAATCCAAATAATGAAAAATCCTAAGCATCTGTCAGTACCCGATTCATTTTAAATCATCAACAACAACAAAATCAATTAATTCCATTGATCTGTCTCTATTTGATAACATTTTTTTTCATCCTCAACCCTTAAAATAAGCTCATGTTCCTTTTCCCTTAAATAGAGTAAGTAGAATAGGGGGCTCAAGAGAAGCAAATGAGAGCAAACACAGAATAAAAAAGATAAAAGGGTTAAGAAAGGTTTATTGTTGTCAGCAGAGATCGAAGCATGAAGTAGTGGGAGAGAGAAAAGGGCGTTGACCTTCTTAATAAAACCTCCCCCAACTCATTCCATCTCTATTCTTAATTTGTGTTGACATTTTATAACAATAATAATAATTTTATTTGAATATTAATTAGAAAATCTTTATTAAAATCTATCTGAGTTTTTTTTCATGTATGTTTTTCAATTAGAGAAAAAATCATGATGAAATTTTAAAGAATAAATTAAAATAAGAATAAAATGATGGTTAGAATTGTTGGTAATGCTCAATCCCACATAGTGTTGGAAACACTATTGGGAATGGTATTTAAAGCTTGACATTTTTCTTCCTTGTTGAGTGATAGAGAACAAGGGGGGCTCTCGTGCACCGCCGCCGCCGTCCGTCCGTCTCGTCTCGTCTCGGCACGGCACGGCTCGGCTCGGGTCGAGGTCGAGGTCGTGGTCGTGGTCCGCGCGGATACTATCTTTTTAGAGAAAATTCTTGAGGAATTTCTCTTTGAAAGAAACAAATGGAAAATGTGAAAGATATCAACTGATATTTATAGGCTGCTGAGGACTGTTTGAATTTCAAATAATAACAGCTGAATTATTTTTTATCAGAAATTAAACAGTTTATTCCTAAATTAAATCAGAAACGTTAAGATGTACTTGGACTGATTTACAGCTTTGTACAGAGGAGACAAGTTGTTAATATCAGGAGTTACATGAGTTATTTGATTTAATTCCAGGGGTTACATGATATAATTTCGGGAGTTATAACAGCTGAATAATGATACAATGAACCTGGACTATTTCTGAGTCAGGTTCATCTAGACGTTTCAACTGTTACAAATAAGAGGTTTAATCCTGAAATTTTATGGATGATTTTAACCCTATTTCTAGCCTATAAATAGAGAGCTATATTCAGTTTCTCAACTCACTCCAAAACATTCACAATTCACTTACAAAGTGTTTTCTAAAGTTCTCTCTATGAGTTCTCTCTGAGTGCTTTCCGATCAGAAGTGCAATACCACCAGCAGCCCACTCCGGTTTCGGGTGTACGGAATTCGGAGCGACCGTGTTAACCTCGGGGGACGGTCCGCCTACTGCAGCGATTACACACATCGAGGCGAATTCGTTTCTAAGGTAGTGGTTCTTACCACGACACGGTTTACGAATATGTTCTTCTTAATTACTGTTTATATTTTCAGTCAGTGCTAACGATGTAGTTTTGCAGTTCATATATCCAACAATTTAGAAACGAATTTTCATAAACTGCAATCATGTCGACACCTTTGAGCAAACTCATTCCCGATCTTTCCAAGCTCGATGCACTTGATGGAAAGAACTATAGAAGGTGGTCCTAAAGAATTCTGATATTCTTCGAGCAACTTGATCTTGATTACGTGTTGCTCAAGCCACCACCTACCATGCCGCCAACCCCAGCTGTCGGTAATGATGCGGATGTGATCCTCAATGATGATGCCTTAGCAACTGTCGCCGCCGCTCTCGCTACCTACGAGAAATTCGAGAAGGATAACAAGACGGTACGAGGACATCTGCTCAGCCACATGTCAAATAAACTATTTGATATGTTCCTTAGAGAAAAGAGTGCCAAAGCAATATGGGACACTCTCGATAAGAAGTATGGTGCGGATGATGCGGGGATCAAGAAGTACGTTGTCGGCGAATGGCTCAAATTCCAGATGACAGACGACAAGCCAATAATGGATCAAGTCCATGACTATGAGAACTTAGTCGCTGACATCATCGCTGAAGGGATGCAAATGTGTGAGGTGCTGCAAGCCAATGTACTCATTGAGAAGCTGCCCAAGTCCTGGTCCGATTACCGCAACTCTCTTAAGCATAAGAAGAGAGACATTTCGCTTGAAGAACTTGTGGGCCATATGAAGATTGAAGAAGCCAACCGTTTAAAAGATAAGCTTACTAATTCTATGAGTAATTTATCTTTTAGAGCTAACTTGGTTGAGTCCAAATTTAAGAAGATCATGAAACGTGGGAATCAAGACAAAAAGACGAAACCACAGAAGGCTACCAACTTCAAGAAGTCAGGAAAGGCCAAACCAGAAGGAAAGACGTTCAAGTGTTAAATCTGCGGTTTACCTAGACATAAGGCTTACCAATGGCAACACCGCTCAGACCGCCAGAATGACAACAAGCCACAGATGCACGTTGTAGAAGAAGATGATGAGATCATTGTTGCGGTGGTCTCAGAAGTTAATCTGGTGGAGAACAGTTCAGAATGGGTAGTTGACACTGGCGCTTCGAATCTGCGCAAGAAAGGAGTTTTTCACCGAGTTCGAGGATGGAAACACTGGTGAACGTGTGTACATGGGGAACTCTAGCAGCTCTGAAGTGCTAGGCAAAGGCAAGGTTTTACTCAAGCTGACTTCTGGTAAAACTCTAGCTTTAAATAATGTTCTGTATGTACCTGTCTTGCATAGAAATTTGATAAGTGGTGGGCTTCTGAATAAGGCAGGCATTAAGTTAGTTTTTGAGGCAGATAAACTTGTACTTTCCCGAAATGGTGATTATGTGGGGAAAGGGTTTTTAAGCAATGGTTTATTTGTCATAGAAACTCAATTTAATGAAAATAAAGCTACCACTTCTGCTTATATTGTTGAATCCATTGATATGTGGCATGCTAGATTAGGACACGTGAATATTCATGCTTTAAAGAAATTAATGAATATGAATGTTCTGCCTAAACTAGACACAACTAGCTTTAACAAATGTGAGATTTGTGTAGAAGCTAAGCATACTAGACCTCACTTTAAGATTGTTTCTAATAGAAAGACTGAACTGTTAGAACTCATTCATACTGATCTAGCAGATTTTAGAAACACTGAAAGTAAAGGAGGAAAACACTACTACATAACTTTTGTAGATGATTCTTCAAGATATACAAAAGTTTATCTCCTAAGAACTAAAGATGAAGCTGAAAACTTCTTTCTTATTTATAAGGCAGAAGTTGAAAATCAGTTAGATAGGAGAATCA